CATCCATTGCAGAGCATGTGGGTTGCTCCCTTCTTTTAGTACCTCTGGCACCGGCTGTTGTGAGTATGCTGCAGGGGCTTTCACATGCGGGTTTTTGTGCAAGTGTATACTTTGTCTGGTGGCAGCACTGTGAGTTAACCACATTTGGGCACACAGAACCCCCCAAAAGAGTTATGAGGCAGTCAGAGACAGTGGTGCACACTTGTGATCCCAGCACAGTGGGAAGCTGAGGCGGAAGGATTGTAAGTTCCAGCCCAGATTAGGGCTGGGAATGTAGCTCAGTGCAAAGGCCCTGGGTTCAATCCCCCATATGGAAAAAAAAATTACAAAGGTCAAGACTCATGGCACAGGGCCAGCAAGGAGAAGGGATCCGGGCAGAGGCAGAGCTTCCTCCAGGCCTCTGAATCACCTGCTACAAACACTTGCAGGGCTTGGAAAGCCCAGCCCTAACTTTCCTCCACCAGTTGCCAACTGCATGTTCAAAGACCAGATTCCTCCTGTCTCTTGGCTTCCATTTCTTCATCTGTGAAATAGGACTAAGAATACACGGACTTCCTGAGATTGCTGTATGATTAGAACAGTGAAGCAGGGAGCCCTTAGCACCACATCTAGTAGAGAATAGTTCTTCATAAATTTGCTATAGGTTATGAATTAGGAAGCTTCACACTGCAGCTAAGACAGTGACTGACTAATGTAACTTGAATATCACGAGGTTGTCACCTACTATAAGTTCAAGGATAATTTGTCCAATTCTGCAGCTCTAGCATCTCAGGGCTATCAGGGTCCATATCCCATTGTTTCTTCTCTTGACTTTCCCCTCTTGGAGATAAGAAGGCTGCAACAGCTCCACATATCATGTCTTGCTTCAACTAAGTTCAAAGTTAAGGCGGAATAGTGAGAGAGTCCTCTCTCATTTCACCTCTGCTCGTTTCATCTGCTGACTTCCTCTCAGGATGGAAAAACAAGGCCAACTCTGAGTTGTGAGGGAGTCTAGGAAAATCAGGATCTGACCTTTACAGCCTCTGTTGTGGGCCATAGATTGGTAGGGAAAAAATAAACTCATGTGGAAATGTCTGTTGGCAGAGAGTCCATGGGGTGCCATCTTGCCTTTTGTGTTGCTGTGATTCCATCATGGAAATGCAACTATGTGGATGGTAGACTCTAAATCCGAATCTCTGTCATCCCATTCACTCCAGACAGTCAGTTCCATGGATTGTCATGGCTCCACAGGAAGTACATCGCTTGGTTGTTCGTAACTCACACCCAACTCGTGTGCATAGTAACTACAAAAAGTCCCAGGGGAGCCCAGAGAGAGCAGCTGCACCATATCTATAAACAACTAACCCTGAGACTGCACCTCTGGGAGAGGGGTCTCTGAGGAGCCCTGGGGGGATGCTTCCTCCTGACCCCTTGAATCTCAGGGTGAGGACAAGGAGGGAGCTGAGATGGTCACATCCAAAGATTCCATTTTGTATAGGACAAAACCAAGGCTACAAAGGGAATATGACCCAAATCCTTCCAAACACAACAAAGCCTGCTCCTGCCTGAGAGCTTGCAGGTCAAGCTAGGTGGAACCTGCCACCTATGGCCACCAAAATAGCCACTGCTCTGCCCCTTCGAAACTGAAGTCCACCTTTTTGGGAGGTGACAGGCTTAATCCATTTTAATAGAGCCATCTATTTTAATATCACTCTGATTTTGCTTTGTTTCCCACACACCATGTTCCTGAGAAGAGGCCACTGACCAGCGAAGAGTGGCTGACATCAGGGCTGCCCATTTGTCTTGTCAGTGGTCCAGCTTCTTCACCTCCCCCAACAAGGGCACCAGAGAAAGCAGCATCTGAGGTCACGACCAACAGCAGCTCTTTCTCCAAGGGCCCTGGGCACAGCGCTGTTCTGCTCAGGCAGATTCCAGGTCTCCCTGTGCTGTCTGGAAAGTCTCCCTCCTCGCCAGGTCCCACAGAACCTGTTATTTCTCTACATCTTCCAGGCAAAGCGCAGATGAGGCTGCATCGCATGACACCAAAATCTGCAGAATTCCCAGTCCCTGCATCTGGGGAATTCCTGAACACGCCATGCCCCAGTTTCTTCATCTATAAAATGGACTGATAAAATAGTGCCACTTCCAAGAGGTGATTACAGACAGATCACTTTCTTGCTCTTCTTTTTTAAACCCTATGCAGTCCTACTCACATTCTGGGTGGTGTCTTGAGCTACTTCAGGGCTTCAGTGGGGAAGTCCAGAGGTCCTTCCTAAAACAGAGCCCAAGCCAGAACTCAGGCCACACCAGCAGGAGCTGCTGTGGACCTCCAGGTGCCTTGGGTCTCCAGAAAACAGCCTGAATTCCACCTTGTTATCCGGGTGGAAATTTTTATAACACGTGTCACGTGCTTCCCCAACTTTAGGCAGCATTTAGAGGAAGTGTAAAATAACCTCTCTCAATAACCTCCTGTGGGCATTGCGAACATATTTCAATCTGAGAGACAGAATTGGGTTTGAATTTCCATTTTTTACGGGCCTGCTTCATATCAACTATATCTATCACCAAGGGCTAGAAAAGTAGGGTTTTGTATGATCATTACTCAGATTCCTCACAGGTAGTAATACATTCTGCTCATAGATGCCTTGCCTGAATTTTTTTAAATTTGTAATTTTTAGGCAGAATATATGGGTGCCTCACGTGACAAAATAAATATATTGTTGAAAAGTCATTGATAATAATAAAAAGTTAAGAACTAACATGACAAAGGCATTGCTTTTGTTAGTCATTAGTTTAAAAACTTCATAAACGTTATTTCACTTAGTTGCTATCACAACTCTTTGAGCTGATATTATCTTATTGTGCCCATTTTATAGAGGAGGAGCCTGAGGGACACGGGTTAAGGAATTGTCCCAAGGTCAAACAGCTAGGAAGTAGAAGACTGAGCTTCCAACTCAGCCGTCTGACCAAAGACATGGCCCAAATTGACCAGTCTGGACTTGAGGTCGCAACCAACAAATTGTGAAATCAAATAAATTTAGCCAGAACTCTAAAAACTGAAATGAGAAAAACTGGAAGAGGATCCTTCAACGTAGAGCACATGGCAAGGTAGAAAGTTTCCATAAAACTTCTGGCTCAACTCCACACATGCGCTCATACACACACACACTCACATGCACGTGTGAATGCATCTACTGAGTCACACTGGAAGGCATACTTCTTACTGTGAGGTGTTGTTAACAAAGGAAAACAGCGCACTAAACGACCTGGCCCTTTTTAAGTGGACAGTTCTCCTTTCCTTTGTCACGCATGCGTGATGTCCCGCCTTCCCCTCCTGCTGAAGGAGAGTGGTTGGTGTTGACTTCTCAGCCAAACTCCCACTTGCAATGGTGAGTGAGATCTACACTGCCTGGCAATGTGGCTGAGGCCTTAAGTGCTGGAGTCAGACTCCCCTGAGTTCAAACCCCAGCCTTGAAGCTCAAGTTCTCACTCTGACCTTGGGCAAACTGAGCCTTGGGTTCCCTTGGAACCAGCTGCTCTCCTGCATGGTTCTTGCTAGGACCCAAAGTGACCAAGCAGGCCACAGGTTTCATAGGGAGCTTGGCACTTAGCAAGTACTGGAGACCAAGGAGCTCTTGCTCTTTAACCTCAACTTTAGCTCCAGGAGCTTTGAATTCTGTAATCATTGCCTATGAAGCCCAAGGTATGCTCAACCCAAGGCTGAAGGCTGGTGGAGTCTAGAAGGTTCTCATGTGCCACAGATCTGGTCAGATTCTTGGAGGTAGCCCCTCTGGCTGCCTAAACACCTCTATACAACCTACCCCATCCCTGCCTGTCTGCTTTGTTTGACACACATGGAAAATCAGCCTCTCCAGAGGAAAGAGGTATTCTCGGTGAATAAGGAACATTCTAAAAACAGCACTTAAACCACAGAGGTTTCCTAGTCCTAAAATCTTCCAGCTTTGTCCAGAGTAGGTCATCCTGTCCGGCTAAATGGAAAGAACAACTTGTCCCAGGTTCTAATGAGACCCAGACCGGGAGTTGATCAGCCTTCACATCACAGGGCTCCCCCGCACCCTACAAGGGATACAGGGCCACAGTTAACCAGGAAGCACCCTGCCTTGTGCCTGTCAGAGAAGTGGCCTCCTGGCTTCATGACCCTGAAGTCACACACCACAGGACCTTGGTTGGTCTCCTTCATGGAAGTCGCTGAAGCAGAGAATTTCTGGGCAGAAGCCCACAACAGCTGGGCCAACTTCTTCAGCCCTGACGATATGATTTTGTACCAATTCTCTCATGTAAATGTTACTGGAAAATTTCCCTTGGTGACAGCAGGCTGAAATCATCAATGATCAGAAAGAGGAAACAGGACCCAGGAACAATAACTAAAGTAGGGCTTTTGATAACTCTACTGCTGCTTACAAAAGTGTGATTTTGGGCGAGTGAGTGACCCTCTCTGGAATTCAGGATCCCTACGCCTATGTGAGGGGTAAAGGAGATAACAAGCAGTATGTCCTGGCTATCCAGTAAATCTCGGCCACTTGCTCCCTCTCCCTTACTCCCACTACCCTGCCAGGCTCCAGACTCAGAGCTCTTCCCAAAATACTGCACCAAGTCTTGCTTCGTTGCTTGTGATTTTTCAACAGTCTGCTCTTCAAAGAAGGGCAAAGAGAAGTATGGCTATACCTTTCCCCGAAGTGTGGCCCTACATGCAGAGAGGGGAACTGAGTTCAAAGGAACCAAAACTAATGAACTTGGTGATTGACCTGGACAGCTGGAGGCTCAGCCAGAGTCTGAACTGAGACCTCAGGCCCTACTCCCCCTAAAGAGGGCAAGGTTTCTGGAAACCTGAAGTCTGCGAAGGGATGGCTAATGGATCACTCAGCCACAGAGGGGAGGGCAGCAGCTGAGGCACAAGCAGGCATGGCCAGTGGACAGAAGTGTTTCGTCGTGTGCTTTCTGTTATTCTGTCTCCTGACAAGCCTACCGGTCCAGGAGAATGTGCACCTCTGTGTACTCACTGGCAATCAGACCACATCACAACTCTGCTGCCGATGGGTGAAGTCACATCTCCAACATCATTGAAAATTCTGGGCAGTTTCTCTGAAAAGGAAAGTAGGGAGGCTATTAAAGCAGGCTTTAAAAATTTTTTTTAAAGCAAGCAAAACAAAGTATCACTTTAGTCTTTGCCACCAGATTAGAGAAGCAAGGCTGATGGGCATATTTTATTTGCCCACCGCCTTAGAGAACTATAAACAAGGAAGACAGGTAGGCAATAAAATCTCCCATCAAGAAAAACCTCCTTAAGTATTAGACAACTATGATAAGAACCATTCTGGAATGATGCTTTCTTTTATGAACCTTGGTTCTTTCTTTTATTAGAAGTAAGATTATGTCAATAGAAATACCATCGACCCAGACTGCTGACCCATCTCTAAAGATATTTCTTTCTTCTTGTCAAAGGACAATGTGCTTGTCCCCAGAGTCTTGGTGAACCTGGCCTCCAGCTCAATGCCAGGTCCCCCCTGCATGAACCCAGACAGCTGTGACAGAGGACAGACAGGGGAGGAAAGTGCTTATCTTTCCTCCGGGTGAATCTGGGTTTCCAGATCCCAAATCAGAGGCACCGAGGAATAGCACGATCATTTTTCTTCATTGCAGAATGCACAAGGAAATCTGATTTTTCCATGCCCTGGGCGTAAGGTTAATCCAGAACTGCCCTAGAGGAGAGAGAGGGCACTGCGGGTGTGCTCGAGGGTGAAGGTCCTCCCGAGACCTCATGCTCAGTCAAGACGATGCCATGTGCCCCAAGCACAAGGTTCCTCCGAAGGCCGATGCCCCAACGGTGTCACGGAGCCAGTGACTTGTGATGAGACACCCGACTGGACTGTGAGACAAATTTAAAAATAGATGGCAAGGATCTAGCAGAGGAGAAATCACAAAGTAAATTGGCTTTTGTGATCCCACTGCGATAAGCAGTGGGAAGTAATGGAAATGTAATTGCGGAGACTTGGATGAGGTATTAAAATTTGAACAGGAAGGATTCACATTAGCAAGCACCAGTGAGCCTGTGGAGTGGAGCTCTGATTGCAACGTGATGAGCTTTACCATTTCAGTCCTGTATTCCAGGGTTTCCTCAGAGGCTTGCACGGCAAACAGCGAAGCGAATGAAGAAGTTGTCCAGTACTTTGCATTTTGGAGATGCTCTGGCCACAGTCGCTTAGCGGTGTGTAGATTCCCTGCAGTAGGAAGAGGTCCTCTTTGGTTCAAAGCAAGGGGCTCTGTCGTGCAAACCTACGTGGGGCAGAGGGACAGACATCTTAGTCCTGACTCTGCCACCACCTGGGTCCTAATGGTGCTGAACCTCAAGTTCCTAACCTATGAAATGGGAGTAGCAATGATGTGGGAACATAGAGCTCCTCTGAGATCTAAAGAACAAACCTGCACTCAGTGACACTGCCAAGAAAAAGACAACAATAAGTGTGAGTCCTTGTTTTCTGGTTTTGCAAGGTCTCCTTCTCTCCTTCTTGCTTCTCCCATTTCCCTTTCATCTCCCTTGATAACAATATCAAAGGAATTTATGGCTCCCCTGGACTCAGCCAAAGCTGAAGAAGATGTGACTCCCAGGATGTAACTCCAAGAAGCCCAAAGAGACACACAGAGGTGCTAGTTTTAAATGCAGCTGCATCTTTAAACCTGGCGCAACATGTCTAGCCTGGGAGGGCCCAGTGCCCTGGGTCACTCGAGCCTGACCATCAAGGGACAGAGAGGCCAGACTGGTCACGGTGGGGACTAGACTTCCCTCTATCCCACACTCAGTGCCAGCCCTCAGCTCCCCCGTCTCACCCTCCTGGGTGTGCAGTGGAGAAAACAGGTGTTTGGAGCCATGGATTCTCCACTCAGACCACAGACAAATGTGAAGATGCCCACAGGTACCCAAGACGCTCATGGTTCCCAGCCAAGGAGAGTTTCAGCCACTGCATTGCTAGGACGACTTTGGCTGCAATTCACAGGCAGTGCCCTAAAGTGCAGGGAAAGTGCTGTCTTCGAGTAGCCCAGCACTGGTGATGGGAGCAGCTGCTACCCACTCCGCGATCCAAAGAAGCCTTCCAAGTCCAGGGGTCTTTCTTTTATCTCTCACAACCCTAGCAGGTTAAGCTTCGTCTCCAACTGGCCATCTCAGGGAACATCCATGACAACACACCATGACCCAGTGGCTGAGGTACAGGACCCTGTGCACCGCAACCTGCTCCGGAGTAGTAAGAAGGTAAAGCTCCCAGGAGAGAAACATCCATCTTTTTGATGATTGGGTCACACTGTCGGGCACAATGAGGGTGGTATTTTTCTTAAAGGTACCCTAGGTAGATTAACAGAAGAACCTCTGCTGGGCATTGTGCTGGTTCCCTTGACCACTTAACTAACCACCTCACAAATTAGTGGCTCTGTGGATGGCAATTGGAGTGGGCTTCTGTGGGATTCTCTTGCTGGTCTCTGTGTGGCTCACATGCACTTCCAGGGCAGCGATCAGGTTCTCTGGGGCTGCCGGGGATGAGCAGTCCCCGCCGCACACAGCCTGTCCTCCTCCCGCAGCCTACCCCAGCCTCCCGCACAGGACAGGGAGGAGCGTGGAGAGAGGAGGAAGGGAATCGACACGACTTCTGGCCTGCCACATTCTGGGGGCCCAAACAAACTGCAGTGCCAGCTCACACCCAAGGGCTGGGAGAGCAAAACTACCTCTTGTCAACCAAATTTCTGAAGTCATACTTGGAAGGTTAAATGGAGAGGAACGGAGGAAGACTGTGGCCACTTTTACAGTCTATCACGGGCACACTGGTCAGATTATAGGAGCCGTACTGTGCAAATGTGAGGCTCAGAATAAGAAAGGGGTTCTAAATCAGTATTTCACTGAGAGATATTAATAACCACTCCCAACGCAGATTACAGGGGATCGTCTACACTCTGTCAACGAGATCACAAAGAAGCTGCGTGGCCCGTGGTGAGTTACGGGAATTAAGCCCACACTCTATTAAATCCTAGCAGTCATCAAAGCAAGTCGAACAGGCACTTTGATGGGTATTATTGTCTAAAATCAATGCAGAACTTCGGAAGAAAACCAGAAATCCATGAACAGCTTCATTAAATGATCAATAATCACTGAATGGCATTAAAACTGCAGGAGCAGATGCCCCAAGGTGAGAGCAGAACAGGTCTCCCTTCTCAATTTCTGCTGTTTGCAGAGAGCTAGGCAAGCCAGGCCCTAATCATATGAGCTTTTGCTCCATGACCTGAAAGGAGACGCTCCCCACTGGGTGAGATCAGGGCAGAGGTTCTCCAGCCCTGTTATTCTTCATTAAAGTCGCTACTGAGGGACTGACCTTAAGGAAAGCATTTCTGACCTTTCCAGGCCTGGGCTCAAATTTGTAACTTTAATGCTCCTTCTGCCAGTTCTTTCTAACTCCATTTCAGACTCACATCTGATTGCTTTTACAGGCCAATTATCTTATGCTTTCAAAAATAATCAGAACTAGAATTCCATGGACGTTAGGGACCACTTCTCTGGTTTTTTCCTTAGCAAGACTATGTACATTAAAATTCACTGCAGGTTCCCAAATAAATAATGCTTGTGTACTTGGCAAGTCCAAGACAGATCTGCAGGCATGTGCTTGTGATACACCATGCAAAAATTCCCCAAATGTGGCTCAGAATGGAAAGACTGTTAAAGGGCAGCTCATTTTTTGGAAGAAAATGAAGTTTCTTGACATTCTTTGGTATTCCCCAATGCAAGAAGTCAGCAAGCCTTAGCAAGTCCCCTTACAGGAAGAGTAAGCATGCTCTGGCCCTCCTCCCAGAGGGTGTTTTGAGGGAACCCCTGTGTCCGGGGTTCTAGAGCTCCATGCAGAATGGGAAGAGGTTGTGCTTTTTGGCCACCCTGTACCCAAGTCCCTTCCAGGCTCAGGTTTTCCTAAGGAGGCTCCCAAGCAAGTTGTGAGCTCTTCACAGTCCATTTCCTACATGGACTATGGGAGTCACTAAAAGTTCTAACCCACCCCATTTATTTGTTGTTTTGAAATCTTATGAGATGCTGACCTGGATTGAAAAAGAGAAGACAAAAGATAAAATCCAGGCCATCTGAGATCAGAATTTAAAAACTAGTAATGCCCACCTTGATTCCAGGAATGCACTCATCAGGTCCTACTATGTGCAAAACAACTCATGGAAGGTGCTCCAAGGCATGCCCTGCTTTAGAGACTTTACAGTCTGCTTAGAGTAATAAAATATAGACACAGAGAAAGGAACCATCGACTACCACAGCTGAAACTCACCCATCCCTTACTGAGTCGTTCATCTGACAAGGTCTGTGATAGGGACTTTCTGTGTATGTCTCATCTAGTCTTCACAACAGCCCCCTTTTAACATGAGGAGACCACAACTTAGAGAAATTAGATAAATGTCTAGTATCACAGCACTAGGAAAGAGCAGATCCGGCTCAGTCACTTTCCTCCACTCTGGAACAGCAGGTCCCATTAGCTAGGTGGAGATGAGGGTAGAAAAGTAGAACCAAGTTGTGCAAGTGGCCTCTGAGGTCACCACAGTTGGGACAACTGAACTTGTACCTCACAACGGTTGGCCTGTCGTTCAGCTGGGTTGCTGGGAGGTAGCAGTAACCAGTGTCTCGTGCTCCAAAAGAATGGATCACGTGGGGTCCACAGCCCAAGCCCTCCCTCCACCTCTGTCCTCCTGAGTGCTGCTCCCTGCCCTGCCTCTACTTCCCTGTGCTTCTGGTCTGAGCAGACAGTGGGGCAGTCTCACATCTCTGAGATAAGAAGCATCACATCAGGAGGGCGAGAAGGTGGGATCTTCCATGGTGACACCAACTCCAGCTGATTAACACTACCTGCTCAGAGGCCTGGGCCACTCAGGGTTGCAGGACCACATCAGGGCTCACCAGGTCTCAGCCATTCAGGCTGCCATATTGAAACATCTCCAGCATCCTTCCACTGTGTCCTCACATGGTAGAAGGGATAAACAAGGTGCCTGGGGCTGGTCTTACAAAATCACTAATCCCATTCATGAAGGCTCCATATAGTCTCATCTCCACATCCTCATACCATCACCTTGGGGACAGACTTCAACCTATGAATTTGGTAGGGGACACACATACTCAAACCAGAACACTAAATTTCTGACCCCCAGTTTCTTCATTTGTAAAATGGACTGACCTTCCTCCATGATTCATTTTGGAAATTATTTAAAAGAAGAGACATTTACAAGGCACTTTCCATGCAGCTTCTTGGAGAGTGAGCACTTAACAAAAGAGAGGTAGGGTTTTCATCTGCTAACAATGCTTCTGACTAGGGCACTTGTTATCCTGTGTTAACAACCTGTACACAACCTGCAACAATGATGAAAAACCCAATCCACTGAGTTCATGCAATCTCCATGTACCACCTTTTCCAGATGTTAAGCCATGGGCACCTGATAATGCAGGGATTTTACTGGGTGAGCCTTTGAAAATTACCATGTGTTTACTTACAGAGTAGTTCTCCCATGGCTAACACAGGGCTGACCTAAAATCTTTTAAATAAGTTCCAAACATTTTCTATATTCCTTGGAACTCCCTTGTATTGGAAGTTTTCCTGGTCATCCCTGCTTTGGGGTACATGCAGACTCCTGTGAACAGTGGATTCGGGGGATTCAGTAACCTGAATCCCTGGCCCTCAGTCTTCACCAAGGTCCCTTCAACTCTCAGGAGACAATGCTCACAGATGAATCTCCCCCCTGCCAGCTGCTGTGCCACCCCCAGGTCTCTGTGGTCACCTGAGTTGTCTCTTCCTCTCCAGGTCTACTTGAAACATCTGCTCTAAAAAGCAGACAGATAAGTCTGGGGGCTCTTGGGAGACAGCACAGTCCCCAAACCAAACTCAGAATCAAATCACCCCTCCCCTGGATTGGTGGAGGCTTAGAAGAGCTAAGAAACATACAGCAAGTTTCTGAAGGAAAATATTAAACTCATCTAGAAGAACCATCTTATGAGAACCTCAGCAGCCTTTCTAAGAGACAAGTCATAGCAAGCAGATGGAGAGGCTGGGGCGCTGGTTGGGAATTTTAGCATCCAGCTCTGCCAGCAGTTCTCACTTCCCCAGAGCCAGGCAGGCACACATTGCAGCTGTGCCTCCCATACTCAACTGCTAGGCCCCCAGCGGCAGGACAGGCGAGGGGGTAACCTGAGACACCCACTTTGGCTCAGCAATGTTTTGCAAGCTTCTGGGTGCAGAAGCTAGGAGCTG